GGCCCCTAATTAGTAATTGAAGGGCTCCCGCATCCTTTGGGCCGTTTCCTCCCTCACGGCGTTTGCAAGGTTTCTCTTTTTTTCTCTACCCCTTCCCCAGATGCGGCGCACGATCGTCATTATTTGGAACTCTCTATCTCCGACATCCTTTGGGGGCCCTGGTGGGGGGCAGGAACGGCGTTGTTCTATGCCTGTGGCGTGTCCTGGCAGCCCGGTGGCTCTCAAAAACTCTGAGAAAGTCGCGTCTTCCTCCCGCGCGCTGAGGAGGTGGCAACGCGGTAAGCATCGCCCGGGTCTCGGAGACATCTGCTCCGGAACGGGTGCAGGGCCCCGTCCGGTGCACTTGTTTATTGTCGCGCCGCGGGTGCGAGCCAAGCTGCAGCAGACATGATGGGCCCGGGGCGAAGCGGGCGCTCGGTGGCCGATAGATGGCAGCCGAGGGCGAAGGCGTCCCCTGGCTAGGGCGGCGCAACCGGAGCCCCCCTTGGATGTCACATTCGTGGGAGACAGAGGAGTCTTGGACCCTGTGCGTAATACGAGCGTGGGACTGTGCGGTCCTCGGATTGGGAAAGGGAGGAGTGGAAATAACCCCGACAGTGCCGGGCTTGGTGGTGGTCAGGAACAGATGATTGCAGCCCAGTGCTGATCGCCTGCCTTCCTCCTGCCATGCAGAAGCCCAGAACCCATGCTACTGTCTCCTGTACATACTGTACATACTGTAAAGGACCCTGGGAAAGGGAGTGGCTCGCCCTAGCTGCAAACAAGGGCGCTACTTTTTAAAAAATATATATATAATTACTTTTCATAGGTATGTCTGGGCAGTACAAAGGAAGGTGAACGACTTTCAGAGAGTGTTTCTGAATACATTTGGTGTGTACTAAAAAGCTGGAAAGCCCCTAAATACAGGCAGTATCGATAGAAAGCGAGTTTCTTGAAGACTCACCTGCTAAACTCCACTAGAGTCATCTCTACAGTAAGTATTCCTGCCTCTTTCCATGAAACCAGAAACTTCCCTCGCCAGAAGGGGATTCTTTTTACGTCCATAAGACATGTTTCAATATTTGCAATATTAGACCTGAGGTCCAGCTCAGGTTTAAAAGAAAAGTTCTCCAAAATAAGTGGCCCAGTGCAGACTGAGTGCACATGTGCCTGTTTCTTTGATAACTGGGTACTTTCACCGTTTTGTTTTGGAATTAATGATGTCTTAAACATAATTGGTATTGTCTCATTCTTAGTAATATTTGGGATAATATTGTGGCTATGATATCTTGATTATACATATGATTAATATCAGTATATATCCTGTTAATATGCCTGTTAACTCAGAATATACATGAATGGATATACAAAGCTTGCATCTTTCCACATAATCTAAAATGTTAACTTAGAAGAATTTATCTAGAGGTGGTGATACTGTAGTTTCCTAAGTTTTGCAACATTTTTAGGAATTTCCTCCGAATCTGTTGTGCAGTTTTTTTTTTAGTTATGTCATAAATACTTTATTTGGAAAGTGTTATTTATTTTGTTTAAGTCCGGGTCATACTCAGGAGAAAGGAAGAAAAGAAGTAGTATGCAATGTCAGATAATGAAAATAAAATCTTGTAATAGAACTTTCCTTTAATTTTAAAATCATTTGGCCTAGGAATGGTAGCCACTGGCTACTTGTGCATTATATAAAAAGATATCACTTAAATTTCATCCATAAAACCTGGTTACTGTATTTTTGATTTAGTCATTTCTTTTAACATGATATAAACATTTTAGAAATTTATTTTTAAGAGTAAAATTACCTTTCTATGTTAAAAATGAAAGTATAATATGTACATGTTAAATTACATATTAATTACAGCCAGAAACCTTTGACATATAAATATTGAATTCTATCATAAACATGATTTTCAATGTTGGTTAATTCTATAGAAGTTCTGAAAGGTTTTAAAATGTCTTAATATATCATTGGACATAAATTAGCTGAAACTCACTGGTTTACTTCATTTTTTCCCCTAAATCTTCAAAATAGCATTTAATATCAAAGCTTAATTTTTAGTTTTATCATTTAATTTTAAATGTTTATTGCCCTAATTAAAATAAATTTTATTCAATTTAGAAATTTTAGGTTACAGTATTGTAACCTTATGCTAATATTCCATATTACCTCTTGTGGTTCAAATAAATAAACGATGAAAACTTTCTACCATTAACTAAACATTAAAGATGACCGGAGAAGCCACCATTAGCTTTTGCCACTAGGTGTCTCTGTAAGATGCTCTGCAGAAAAGCAAATTGTGAGAAAATACGATGACATGAATAGAGCAGAACAGAAGAACACAGAAGGGAAGACATCACAGAAATCAAGAAAAGCCTCATTTATTCATCTGTAGATTTCTATTTGCTTTGAATGTTGGTGATTGCCCAGAAAAGATATAAATGAATCATGTAAAAGTGACCAAATTTAAGTCAAAACTTTTGCTCACATAAACAGACATGTCTATATCATGGGCATATAGTCCTATAATGTGTACTCGGGTACGTGCACCTAATTACAGAAATACATAAGGTGCTGGAAAACGAAATTATTGATCAATAAATATCTCCAGAACTAAGGTTATTAGTATTAAATTAAACATTATTTGATCGAGTTGGATGTGAAAAGCTGAAAATCTTTGCCCAAATGTTTGTGAATGTATTTGTGCATATTATAATTAGCTAATGAGTGTATCATCATAAATACATAATCATGTATGAAAACATGTTAGAAAACAATTGACCCAAAATATAGTCTTTATTTGATACCGGCATATTAAAATTTAGATTCAAATCATAAGTAACATACTTGTCACTTAAAATTGACTATATATTTTAATAATTAACACGCATTTTTAAATAGAAACATTCTTTTAGTGCTTTATGAATACTTGAGAGGAATTCTTATATTAAATGAGTTTCTTAAAATATTTTATTATTTTAAACTGGTGTATCACTGTATGGTATCTTTAGGATATAAAAATGCTAAGTTAAGTATTATAGTTTCTCCTAAAACAATCTAATGGAATTTCTAAATAAGGAAGTTCATCAGTAATAATTGGGTGACTTCGTAAGTATTGATCAACATCATAGAAATCTAAAGGCAGTAGATGATGAAATTCTCATGTTAGATTTAAAGTTTTGCAAAATTAGATCTAATAAATTACTTTTCTAATAGTAATGACTAATAAGTGTGTATAACTTAATTTACTAAGAACAGATTTTTCATATCTAAATAAAGGGCATATGTTTTCAAAGTCTTTGAAATTAAAATCGTGTGTGTGTGTGTGTGTGTGTGTGTGTGTGTGTGTCACACATCGCTAAAAGGAGAAAATAAAACTTTCTCCTAAAGGAGAAAAGTGATTTATCTTTTCTGATTGTTTCCATATGCAATTGCTAAACTAAATAGCTTTATAGCATATGTCTTTGACCTTGGGTTTGGTATATTTAACATTACAATAATCAAACTTATCATACAGTTGTATTTACCACATCTAAAATGGCCAGTAAAACTGACTAATCCATTGAAATTATGTATTCACTTATAGACTTAGTTAATTATAACTTATCTGAAATATGCTCTCAGAGGAATTACAGGATATGCATAAAACAGGCAATTTTCTTGCTTGCCTCATGCAGTTTTTTTATAAATAAACCCTGAATTTTTTTTAGAATTATATAATAAAACATCCTAGCCGGGCTCGGTGGCTCAGCCTGTAATCCCGCGCCTGTAATCCTGCGACTTGGGAGGCTGAGGTGAGAGGATTGCCTGAACCTGCGGGTTCGAGACCCTCCTGGGCAACTTGGCTAGACCTCATGTCTACAATAATACAAAAAAATTAGCTGGTCCTGATAGCGTGCGCCTGTAGTTCCAGCAACTTGGAAGGATGAGGCGGAAGGATCGCCGGAGCCCAGCAGGTCGAGGCTGCGGTGGCCGAGCGGCCACTGCACTCCAGTCTGGGCGACAGAGTGAGGTTCCAACTCAAAAAATAAAAATAAAATAAAAATAAAACAAAACATCCTTTTTGGAAGACAAATCGGCATTTAAAATGCATATATCTTTGAAACAATTACTTTTTAGAAAATAGCCTTCATTACCAAAGTAAACTATATAAAACATATGCCAGAATATATTTGTTGTAACAGATGAGTGCATTGAAAATGACTGTGAACCAGTAAAATGTCTGATTCAGTGAAACGTAGTACACATCCATCTATACCTTGAAATACTATTCAGCCTTAAATAACATTTTGTATAGGAATACTGTTTTGTCATTTTTAATTATATATGTAAAAGTACTAGTACTTATATACGTGAGAGAGAATTTTTTTTTTTTTTCTAGAAGGAAACACCACACAAAATCAGCAATATTGGTTATCTCTTGGAAGAAGACTGGAATTCTTGAATATAATGAAAATTTATTTTTTATAATATAATCTAGCTTTTTAATATTAAACAATGTCAATTTACATGTATGTTTACAAAATAAATTAACACTGCATACTTGAAAAACAAGAATATTTGGAAGGGTTATATGAGTTTTGAAGATGACTTCCTTAAATTAAACTCTATCCCATAGTTCTCCAGATGGTTTTATTTCTTATGACACATTACTATCACTAGAGATACTGATTATGTTTCTAAATATGATAGCAAATTAATAAGTCAAAATAATTTCTCTTCATTACTCATCTGTTGCATTCAATCTTAGCTACCAATGTCAGCTAGTAGAATAGTAATTAATAGAAACTACCTTTGTTATCATCACTATTCAGAACCATGCTGTGTACTTGGAACATTAGTTTTATTTGCTACTCTGGTGGGTGAAGGGGAAGATCAAAATGGTACTGTAGAGAAGATAAGCGATTATACTTGAAATTGTCAGCAGCAGTTCTTTATTGCTGTCTACAGGAAGTTGAGTGAGTATACAATTGTGACATATTATAAATATAAAATCTACCTTCATTCCCTGTTAGAACAATGACTGCTACCATCTGGCTTATATTAACACTGAAATAGGCACATTCCACTAGAAAAGGGGCAGTTTCATTGTGTAGTTAGATTAGTTTTTCTATATGTCTTTCTGTTAGAGTTGTGATTTTTCTTGTGGAACCCACTGGTTATGGATTCTCACATATCTCTAGTCATTTTTAGAAAATAAGACCAAACAGACATTATGTTATGTTTATATTTTCTGTGTTCTTTCTGTTTCCACTTCCCCCCCCCCCCAGAGGGGGGAAAAAAACCTAATCATCCTGAAAAACAGTCTCATTCAAAAATTTCAGAGGAACTATTGCTTATGTGAGAATGTCTAAATTGACTGAACTACATACAACTTCGTCAACCTGAATCTTTCATTCAAAAGAAGACTCGTGTAGTTTCTCTATCCTCTTAAAATAGATCAGCATTTTCTCCAACTCCAAAACTTTGATTTGTACTGCCCTTTCTTCTAGCAGGCTTTTCACTTTCTTTTATCTACTTTTCTACAGAATTCACTATAGACCTTTCTCAACCAGAAAACATCTTCCCTCTAACTAGCGTTGAAGTCCTACTTACCTACACATTCTTTTATAATTTATTTCACGTGATCTAGCACAGTTTTCTATTTCCTGCTTAATGTATGTTTTTTCTCCAGACTAAATTATCATTTCTTGTTTTGAAAATAATTTTATTGTATTTATTATCACCCAATGGCAAGAAAAATGAACTCCAAAAAATCTTTTTGTATACACAAAAATATCGATCCATTTATTAATATATTCAGATAACAAATATTTATTTAGTACCTATCATGTGCTGGACCATGTCTCTTTTATTTGAGATAAAGATAATTAGTTGATTATTTAGATCAGGATTACTACAGAGATATCTTGACTTTCTGATAAGTTGCTTACATTCTCAGTTAAAATTAATGAAATATAATATATAAAATGCTATTGCATAGATTA